GAATAAATCATTGAGAGACAATAGCCGATGATCTGAATGAGCACGTTCACTGGAACTAGTCATCGGTTAAGGATAAAGTGAAATATAGAAAGAAGAGAAAAGCAAATAAGCAATAGAATAAATGAGGTCATCTTCAGACAGGTGCTTGACAGGCAGACAAAAGAGAACGCGAAAAAAGATTTTTCCGGGAAATAGTTAATCGATTTACCTCGTAAATGATCAGTTCTCTGTCTTTATTCTGATCTCTACACACACACAGACGAATTCAATTTTGTACCCATACATACTTGACGTGAAAATTTAACGTTAAGTGTCCACTTTTTTCAGTTCATTTCCTACGCCGATCGATTCTTTCTCTTTGCTAATTGTTCAATCAGCTAATCGGAAACCTGTTATCAAGATGAAACAAAAAACGACTCATACATATGTTTCATTTTGTCCTATATGTTTCAACTATATTCAACATGTTTGAATTAACTTACTAATTGTGTAGATGCATGTTAGCTTAATAAACGATTATTTCTTTTCTTTTTTCATTGTTTTGGCTAACAAGTACCTATTCATTGTTGATTTTCGTTGAACAAACAAGTCGTTAAGAGTCGCGTGCTTGTTAATAATGACAAATGACATGCGAAAAATAAACACGTCCGTCTGTCTGTCTTTCCAGCGTCGTTGAAATGAACAATTAAACGAAGGATTAGCAGCTTTGCTTAGTTGGTCATTATTGTAAGTATCCTACAGGTTGAAATATCGTATGTCGTTGAACAATCAATTATAATATTCAAAGAGAAAACGATGCACCAGACTATAGTGATGTTAACCTTGACATGGAATGCTTCACTCACTTGTCTTCATCTCATCATCATGATTATTTGTTAGATGAATTTGTTCGAGCGTCGCACAGGTTCTCAGAAAGAGAGAGGGAGAGAAAAACAGACAGAGAAGAAAAATGCTTTGATTATATTATTACTTTCTTTCATTCTTTTTCGTCGTGTTCTTTTCTTTCACAATTGAGATCTATTGCATATCTGAATCACATCATAGACACATACACACCTAACATTCTTCGTTTGGTTTCCGATTAAAAATTAACCCTATGTGTTCTTCGTGCTCGTTCATCTACGCATATTGTGAATACTTGAGCATATAGAGTTAATTATACAGACAGTTTTTTCCCATCATCATCATCATCGTCGTCGTCGTCGTCGTCATAGAAGTGAAAGTACAGAGAAAGAAAAAATGATTACATTTATAATGAAAAGAAAAAAATCCGACTGATGAATTTGTCATAAAACTAATGAAGAATATACAATCAATCAAAATGAATTAGCTAATTGTAACAAGGTTACTAGAGGATATATGCAATGAATAGATGAGCAAATTTAACTTAAAGATCAATTATTCTCGCGATAACAAAAGACTATATCTCTAAGATGTAATCGATTACTCCAAACAATTAGCTGTTCGTTCGCATTCTCGGTCTTCGCGTTATTGCGAAAGACGAGAAGATACGTATGCATACGGCTATACCAATTAATACATAACAAATTATTTATTTAAAACATCGTTGATATAGAAATAGTGAAATTGGAAAAGATGAAGTTGTTATATAAAATAAAATGGACTGAATAATATATGTATATACAGATTCATAAATTGATGATGTAATTTCAATACGCATTCGCTCATAAGTGTCTGATGAGAAAATTTCTGTATTTGATCATACCAAATCGACCTTTTGTTTAAAATTTGAATTGGTAGAAAAAGAAATGACTTTTTTGTCTCTCTAGTACATCTGAATTTCACATTTCGATTGATTACGACTAATGATAATCAATATATGATCTGATCTGATGATCATGATCTAGTAGAATGGTTTCTTGATTGGAAATAGACATTTGATAAAGATTTCTTTCAAACCTTGAACTATCTCGAATAGTTGTTTGATTTCGTTTGATAAACTCGACTTTTACTATGTACATCGAGTGTTTGATCAACGTTTATTTCAATATCAACAGGATAGAGTATCAATTAAAAGCAATTAACGAACCAGACAGTCTAATAAGCATAGGAACAATGATAAAAGTATGGACATAGAAAGTCAATAAGACAGTGTTTCGCTTGATAACCAATGAAAAGGACATTGTCTTCGAGTTTCCTTGATAGTTTTCAGTTGTTTAGGCATCCCTGATGTTACGACAATGACAAAAAGGAAGGTGATGACGCCTGTCGCATCAAAAGAATCAGCTGGCGTAAACATGAAGAGCAAAACGAAAAAAAAATTTTTTTTACTTTGTGCATATGAATATAGATACCGTAGTTCTCGTATGTGAATGAAGAAGAGAGAGAGAGAGAGAGAGAGAGAGAGATACGGACGAAGAGAGAAAATGAAAGTTTGAAGAAGAACCGTTACCAAAATAACTTACTGTATAAGGATGGAGATGGACAAAAATGGCCTTGTATGGTGTGGTTTGCTTGACTGATTTTTGTAACAGTATTTAAAATGACAACGAAATGATATTCAGTCTTGTACTTCTTACCAGATAGGCAATTCTTCGTAACAATATGGCCGATGAGATATTTGATCAAGCAGGTATTGATTGATTTTTTTTCGATTTTATTGAAAATACTTTTTGAAATTTGTTTTCTTTCTCTCTGTCTATAAATATGTTAACCAAATATTTCTTTATTAGATCTTAATAAAGATCAACGACTTGATTTGAATGAATTCCGCAATCTTATTAGTCAAAATCTTGGACCTGGTGCATCGATTTATACTGGTAATCTAAGTGATGCTGGGCAGTATTCTGGAAGATACTACGATTCTTCTTCATCAGGAGGTTATTTAGATGGAAACAACAGTACTGGTGGCTATAATAACGTTGCCGAAGGATACAGTGGTGTTGCTGATGGTTATAATGGCGTTGGTGATTTAGGCGGAGGCACGCTCAATGGTGCTGGTAATATCGATGCTAATACAACTTTCAATTCCTTCGATCAAACATCATTTGCCTCATCAACGGGCGGTGGAAGTGTAGTAGGTGCTGGTAACGGCAATGGTGGTCTAACGTTCGACGCGGAAGGTAATTCAGTTGCTGAAAGAACAGTAGGAACTGCAGGAGATATTTCAACATCATCGTTCGATGGTGGCAATAGTCAACAACAAATTCAACAATACGCCACCAATGCACAAGGTCTTTATCAAGATCCTAATCCACAAATTATTCGCCGGCCCGCACAAGGTGAACAAATAACCTACACTCAGAATATCAAAATTCGATTCCTTCAACCACCAGCTATTCCACCACCAGGCGTAAGTTGTTGTCTTTGTCGTACATGCTGTATAGACAGTTCGGTTCTTTTTAGCCATTGATCATTAAAGAAGTGCGACCGCCCCAACCGCCACCGCCGCCACCGTTGGTTGTTCGTCAACGGGCTCCAACTCGTCCTACCCCGCCTCCACTTATTCTACGTGAAAAACCTCCTCCAATCCCCACCCAAACAGGAGCTCAAACTGGTAATAGAATAACAAAGATACTCATCTTCGTAATATTGTCTCTTTTTAGTTATACGAAAACTTCCACCTCTCCCACTCCCTCCCAGATCAGTCATCATCGAACGTTTACCTCCAACTCCACCGAAACCACGTAAGTTACTCTATTTTTATCTACTGATTTGATTAAACTATGTTCGACGATAGGGGATATCATCATTGAACGTTGGATCCCATACAATGTCCTAGCAAATCGAAAAACAATTGTCCAACGTGCCGAAGAGCCCAAACCATATCCAAAACCACGCAATGTCATTATTCAATATGAAGCTCCTCAAGTTCGCATTGTTCGACAGTTTCAACGTCTTGGTGTTACGCCAGAAAACCCACAAGAATACGTTCAGCGTTACGGTACGTCATTGTACGATTCACAAACATTGGTGCAACAAGCTCGTGCTGCTGGTGTCATTGAAGATATTGTAAGTCATCGACGTTCTGTATTCGTATCACATGATTCATTGGATTTTAGTCGCCACCAACCAACCTTGCTGGTGTTGGAGGAACATCATCAGCAACGTTTAATAACGAATACGGTAGTGCTACGCCAGGTGCTGAAAGTACTGGAATCGGTTCGCCAGCATCCTTTGATTCATCAGGCTATGGTGGACAAACAGGAAGTGCAGAATTTTCAGGTTTTGAAACCGGCCAAAATGGAACATCCGGAGGTTTTAGTGCCTCATACGAAGCAGGTTCGTATTCATCACAGGGTGCTAGTACTAGCGCTACGGGTGGCAATAACGGTACTCTTCATGGTGACGCAAGTGCCTCGGGTTATCAGAGTTACAGTGGCTCAAATGGTAGTAATATAGATTTAGCTAATGCTGCGTTTAACGCTGCTGATCTCAATAAAGACGGTCTAATTGATCCAAATGAATTCCGTCAATTTCTTGGTTCACAACTCCAGTACGTTGAATGATCGATTATTTTAATCTTTTCAAAAATGTCAATGCAAATCTTTTGTTTAGATGAATTAATTTTTCTCTTAATCGAAGTGTCAACTGATTTGATTAGTTCATAAACAGAGAAAAAACCTGACTTTCTATTCCGTAACAAAGCCCTTGTTAGAAGAACAAGGACAATTTTTTTCATATGTCACACATTCGTTCTGCTTCGCTCTTCTTTTCTCCTTGATTATATCTTTTACATTCATTTTTTTTTTCATTTCCTTTGCTTGACATTACATTTGCAAATGTATAGATCAAATTACATCAAATTCTTGTTTCACATTTTTGCTTTCCTTTCCCTCAATAAAGAAAAAGAACAACGAAAGAAAGAACATCTGAACATTCGATGTACATGTGATTTCTGAAAACTAGTTTTATTCATATTATGCTACAAATAGTGTCAAGAGAGTATTTGAAAAATTAGTAAAAAAAGACAAAAATAATTTCAATGTGGTTTATCAAGAGAAAGAAAAGCGAATTTGATTTATTTATCTTTATCTCATCTAAAGTCCAGCATTGCGAAATTCTGCCTGTGATATAACGCCATCGTTATTTGTATCAACAGCATTGAATAATGCATCACCTACATCACCTGCTGTAGATGTTTTATACGATGACTCGTAAATTGTTGAGCTTCTTCCACCAGCACCTAATCCTGCAACGTCACCAGTCGATCTGTACGATGATGATTCATAGTATGAAGAACGGCCTGCACCGCCCGCGCTGCTGATTCTGCCTATGTCAATACTACCACGATTGAGATTGTCGTAGTTGATTATGCTTGCTCTTTCTGTCGAAGAGAAATCAGATGAACCTGATATAGCTGAAGCTGATGCTGCTGGTGGTGACTAAATCAAATATTCAATATATTTACGAGCAAATTCAAAACCGTGGGCTACTTACAATATCTTCAACGACGCCAGCAGCACGAGCTTGTTGTAATAACGTATGAGCATCGAAAAGGGTAGCTCCGTAACGTTGAATATACTCTTGTGGATTAGCCGGTGTGACTCCGAGACGTTCAAATTGGCGAATGACTCGAACTTGTGGTGCTTCATATTGTATGATCATGTTACGCGGTTTGGGATAGACTATCGCTGCTTCCGCTCGCTGAACGATCGTTTTTCGTTCGGGTTGTGGCCCGTAGGGAACCCAACGCTCAATGATGATGTCCCCTGATCATCATAAACATAATGTTAGACATTGCTTGATTGGAAAAACATAAAAAGAACACTTACGAGGTTTTGGTGGAGCGGGCGGCAAACGCTCAATAACAACTGATCGTGGTGGAACTGCAATAGCTGCAAGATTTCGTATAACTAAAAATTATACATTGAAACGATGACGACTGTCAATACTTTTCTTATTGACCTCTACCTGTTTGAGAAGCAACAACTGCCGGTGCCGGTGGTGGCCGCTCACGTAAAACAAGTGGTGGTTGTTGTGGAAGCGGAGGTGCTTGTTGACGAACACGCAGTGGCTGTGGTGGGGGTGGTTGTGGTGGTCGCACTTCTTTGATAATCAATGGCTAGAACGAAATTTTGAAAAAAAATACACCGATGAAATAATTCCTACATATATTGAAAAACGATCTTACGCCTGGTGGTGGCACAGGTGGTGGTTGAAGGAATCGAACTCTGATGTTTTGTGTAAGAGTCACAGGCCCCTCGATAGCTGGACGGCGCACAATTTGTGGATTTGCATCTTTAAAATTGCCTTGCTCATCAGTTTCATAGTGCTGAACGGATGATGTTTGTGATTCCGATGAAAAAGTAGTTGACACTGCATCCGCACCTGAGACTGCGCCCGTTCCAACGATATTGTAGTTCGATGTATCACTACCACCAACAGATGAACGAAACGATGCCGATTCATATGTAGCAGCTCCATAGTTAGAACCAGTATAACCTAAATCAAGTCCTAAACCAGCCGCATCACCACTAGTACCACCTGTAGATGTTCCATATACTGATGATCGATAGACTGTCGAGCCATATCCACCAGTAGTATCAATATCACTATAATCCGTACTGACAGGATAATTTGTTGTCGTACTTCCACTAACAGAATTTCGTACTAGAAAATCTTTAAATTCGTCTCGAGACAATGTACCATCATGATTGGCGTCTGCTTGATTGAAAGCAGCATCGGTGGTCGCCATTTGAAAATTTTTGTGTATAACGATTCACTGCGAATAGAAAGTTCGTCTGTAGTACAGAAACCACTGATCTACAGGCACTTATATATCTTTATGCTAGGCGAAAGTCACTCAACCAAGTCGATCTCAATTTGATTCTTTCGCACACACATTCACTTCGGGTCATTATATTTCATTCTGGAGAAATCGAACCACGACCTTGTTCTGCTTTTTTGCCTCGTACAAAAAATCTTCTACATTTATTTCAAACTTAATTTCTTTTTTCATGTACATATCTATGTGTATATCTTATCTTCGTACTTCTTATTGGTAATTATTATTCGTAGGAGATGCGCATATTCAAAACAGGCAGGGATCATTTATTTTGCGGGTGAGACCATATTCATAATTATGTTGATCGTTTACAGTGATAACTTACGACGTCCTGGTAACCATTCTTTACGATTGGTAGAACATGCGCCAATAGGGAAAGGACAAATCCACTCGTGGACAAACAAACATTTAAAAAAAAGCATTGAATAAATTTTTTTGAGAAGTTTCTTCTGATGGTGTTGAGAATGAAAAGAATTGTATGGCATAATTTAGTTGTATTTTAGATTCGAAAACAATATCATATTCTATTCGATCAACAGTCATGATTTCTGACGTGCAATTGGCAATTATTGCTAATATTCTCAATGTTTTGGTGTTTTTATTGATTATTCTTTATCATTACATCAATTCATCGAATATTGCAGCAAAAAAACAAAGTTAATCGTAGGTTTCTGGTGTTGCCTTGCAATAACAAGAAATTTATGAATCATTCTTCTTGTAGACACGGTATTTAACAACATTCCGTCTTATTCAATATGAATGAACTATGAATTCTTAGATATTGTTTCATTTGTTTATTGATCTGTTCTTCATAACCAACAAACAAAATAAAACTTTCGATAAAGATCAAACTATTCATTTCTTGCTCAAGAAGAACTTTTTATGAAAATAAGGTTTAATTAAATAAATAGAGAACAAACAAATATTCATCTTTTCGAAGAAGATTTTATTTCTAGAAGAATAAGACGAACATTATCACCGAGAAGAAATGTACAACACCGGTATAAAACATTCTTGCTGAGGAAGATGTTGTTACTATCAAAGTACTCGTATTCGTTTTTGTAACATTGTAAAGTGTACTATAGCTAAAGCTTGTGTTCACAGTATAAACTGTACTCGACGTGAGGCCACTAAATAGATAGGATCGATTTGTATACGTCGAATTTTGTATGACACTCAGTGGTGTGCCTGATTGATTATTATTGATCAAGTGGGTCGTAAAAGAAATTGGCTTATATGGTAAATCATTCGGCCAAAGAAATGAGATTAAAAATGCAGTAGGAGACATGTTGATCGATGATATAAGAACTGATGATGGTCCTGAACATGTTGTATTCGAACGTGAACATGTTCGAGCTAAAATACAATTGTTCGTAATTGCCAAATATATACTGACGTTAGTTACGGTTGAATTGGATGAGAAACAAACATAATAATAAGCGTTTACTAATTCGAAATTTTTCGTTATACTTGTTATTGTCTTGTTTGTTGATACAAACGTGTAATTCGTTCCTGAATATGTTCGATTGTAAGTATAATAATACTCGTGAAAATCAATTGAAATTCTTATTAAATCTGATCGATCAATTGACGTATCAGCGAACTGCCAGTTAACAGTTAATGCTGTGGAATTAATTGGAACAATCGATGTTATTCGTGGTTCAGTTATATCTGGAGTAATTTGGCATGAAACGATTGAAAGAAACAAAATATGTAAAGAACACCAATAAATTCTCATTCCTATCATTCGTGTCATTACACACACACATACAAACTGAAGTAATCAATTAAATTTTGATATAACAGCTGGTTTTCTGCTTTTTTATGAATACTAAACGACTTTGGTAAAAATCTTGTCGACTGATTTCGTATTTACCTGATTACTATGATCACAATTTTATGCAGAGAATTGAATTGCATTTCAACAGTACTTCATCATCGCTGTTGTTTGCCTTCGAATGAGAATTGAATGCTGTTTTGTATGCGACGCGATTTGATGTCTATGTTATTTCACACAGTGTACAATGGGCAATAAAACGAATGAGTAAGAACGTGGCAGCGAAAAAATCATGTCTTTATGGAAGAATTGACGGCGGCTGTTCCTCTCGATTCTCTATATGATTTTTATGTAAACAATAAGTATCGAGTTTCTTTTATTTTCAAAAATGTCTTTCACTACAAGGTTACGTAGGCATTTTTTGCCCTCAATATGATTGGCCAGACTTTTACGATCAAATATTGATTATTCCCATAAATCCAAAACAAAGAAACTCAATAACAAAGTTTTATTAAAATACCTTTCCTACAATATACAGAGAACATTCATCGTAGTTTCGATGATCACTGAAATTATCGAATTCAACTTCGTCATTCAGGTTACGATCCTTATTTAATAAATAGCAATCTAGAATAAATCAAGAATACCAAAGCAATTTAAGATGAAATGTTATATCTGACTCTAAAATATTCGAATTATAGACGTGCTAAAGAATTAACATATTTATTTAGAACGATATCGCATGACTCTATTCCAACTAAGAGCAATCTTTATATAAACTTGTATTCAGATGACAGTGCACGACAAGAGATTGTTGCAATTCAACGCATTTTCTCTCTCTCTGTCCCTACTTAATTTGATAAGACACATTACAGTTTATAAAATATTCCATTGCATTCCATTCGATTCGATTCGATTTATGAAGAAGTAATGGTAAAATGAAACTTGATGATTTTTTTCTCGAAGAAAAATCACTAAGTCATAGAAAACGAATGAAGATGAATAGGAGTATGAGAGCAAAGTGCTGCATGATAAAATGCAAATGTCGTATAGGACTGAAGCCTATCGAATCAGCATAACATCGAGCAGAAACTCAGCGGATCGCAATGTGGCGGTTGCTCTCACGTGAACGTTACTCTGTTACTGAAGAAAGTCGTTTACAATCGATTCTAGCCATTAGTGTTGTTTCGACTAAAAATGCATCGCTGCAATCACAATCTCATTTCGATTATGACGAGGCAACAATCAATGCGTGACATATTTTATTCTTCAGCCATTTGAAGACGCTTGGCCTTTTCTCACTCTCGAGATCATATTGTCTAGCGGTGCATTTCAGTTCACGATCTACTTTGTTTTCGACTTCTACATTGCCAATCGATCCAAACAAAT